TGATGTTGGAGGGTAGTGTGATGGAGCATATATTTGAGGTAGTGTCGCACTCTATTGGCGGAATTTAAAGAAGTTCTAATTAACAACCTATCACTTGGATTATCACACCTATGTGAGATGCAACGTGACATGGATCTCATTCCAGGATCAGTTCTCCATAATCGCCCAATTAACTGAAGGTAACCAGTAGAATATGAGGAGCTTCAGAAGAAAGTTAAGAATCTGGTGAACAAAAAGACTGGTTCGTAAAAGTATCAATATATATGTTGTACCAACATTGCTTATGCCTATAAAGATGAATTATCACATATGTGCATTGATAGTAGGGTGGTGAAAAAGATCACTATCAAGCACACGTTTAAATCAATTGCACGAAGCTAACATCTTTAAAATTGATCTACATAATGAATACCATCAAATTTGGATGAGACATGAGATTAGTAGAAGATCGCCATCAAGATGCAGGATGAATTGTATGAGGGGACAAGCATGCCTTTCGGCATGCCCAATGCACTATATTTTCCAAATCTTTATTCATAGTTGTGTACTATAACAATATTCAAGCGTACAACCATTCAAAGGATGAGCATTTATAGTACCTAGGATAGGTTTATTGAGTTCTTCAGATAGAGCAACTATATGAACATCCAAGTTTCACTTTCTGATGCCGTAAGCATGCTTCCTTGCGTACATTATGTCAGCAATTAGAATTCAGGTGGACCAGTTAAGATTGAGACTGTTGCGAACTAGTCAAACCCATAGTCATTTACGCATGTATTCCAATTCTATTGACCGACTATTTTTTTTAACAAGAGATTTATCAAAAATTTTAATTCCATGGTGGCACCCTTAGAGCTTCTTAGGTTAAACATATTCACTTAGTCAGATAAATATAAGCTAACTTTGTTGTTTTGAAAAAACGAGTCGCACAAACCCCCGTTCTAGCTCTTTCAAATATATTTATCAAAAATTTTAATTCCATGGTGGCACCCTTGATAGAGCTTCTTAGGTTAAACATATTCACTTGGTCAGATAAATAAAAGCTAACTTTGTTGTTTTGAAAAAACGAGTCGCGCAAGCCCCCGTTCTAGCTCTTTCAAATAATCTTTCAAATATAAGTCAAGGGTTCAAGGTGAGTGTGATGCCCTCAAAATAGAGATTGGAACTATGTTAAGTCAAGGCACTCTATCGCCATCTTTGGTGAAATGCAAACATACCTTATCTGTCACAAGAAATTTTATGTTATTACTAGTGCTCTTAGTCACAAAAATTATTATATGGAAGAATGAGTTCACTCTTTACACTAATCATGAGGTTTTGTGAGTCTTGAAGAATCAGAACATGTTGAAGGGTAAGCATTCCTCCTAGATGTTCTTTTCTTCATTCCATTTTGTACTTGAGCTCAAAGCTAAAAATCAGAAAAAGAAAGTTGATACATTGATATGTCGTCACTAGATAAGCACTCCTATGCAATCAAAAATAGTTGAATTGAAAGTGTTAAAGCATGCATATGCCACTGACAAACATTTCCGAGCAATTCCACATATCACATGAACTACTTGTTATACCATAATAAATGTGGAATTATTGTTTTTTTATCGAGAGCATCTTACAAAAGCGCCACAATATATTGATGGCATGACAATTTGGTAGAAACAAGACTCTTAAATAAAAAAGAATTTCTATTGGCATAACGTCACACAAGTTGTGAAGAGGTGTGTCAGATAGTGATGGATTTGTCACTTGTCAAGGCTCGAGAGCAGAATACAGATCCATACATTCTTGTTATAGAGCTATATTGGATGGATATGATCATGAACTTTATGATGAATTTGCCTCAAACATAGTAAAACAAAGTCTCCATTATAATGCTGACGGACCACTGCTTTAAAGTGGCACACTTTACATCTCACCATAAGACGAAAGACACCTCACACATTGCAGACTTATACTTTAGAGACTTCTTCGTCTCACAGTGTACCAGACCATCACTTCAATCAGGAACTTGAAATTTTTGTCATTTCTAGAGAACTCTATGGAGTAAGCTTGATATTCAGCTCACTCTCAAACTAATGAATAAAGATGGTGAATCACAATTAAGACAACCTTCTCAAGTGTTTTGTTGGTAAGGACATCCGATGATGGGACTTGATCTCACTTAGACTAAGGCGGCGTTTGGTAGCACACTCATAATAGGCTTTAGCCACTAATTTAACTTAAATCCAGTCAAACATCAAAAAAATGAAAATTAAATCCAACGCACTGTTAAATCAAATTTTCTCACATTCCGACTTTTTTCTAGTGTTCCGTCTAATTTGCAACGTAAATCTAGATTTAGTAAATCCCATTACAAGACGAATTTATGTCACTCGCAAGTTCATCAATCGCGACTAAATTTGATAAATCCGGATTTATCGAATTTGATAAATCCAATTTAACTTTAATCTATGTTGCAGCCAAACACCACTTAAGTTTGCTAATAACCATTCCGGCAACCAATCTATAGATCACAACCTTTTCGAGATAATTTATGGGAGGAATCCCCTACCTCAACTAGATTTTGTCCCTATACTCCCAAACATTGAGCCTAGCATTGATGCAAAGGTTAGAGTAAATAAAAGTCAAGTTTTGCATGAATAGGTAAAAAAGGAGATTGCTAAGCAAAATGCCAAATATTAGAAGCAAACAAAAAAATCAAGAAAAGCACTAGGCCTCTAGAAAATGTGGCATGGTATGAATTAGATCAAATGAGAGGTTTCGTACTAGTTCTTTCGGCAAAGTCAAATCTATAGTCGATAGACCATACAGAATTTCACTATAATATTTTCGTTATCTTCAATGTTATCGACCTTTCATTGTACTACAAGTATCCAGATGTCTCTGGTGAAGAAGGCGACCCTTGATATGGATTAGATTAAAGGAGAGGTTTCCTACTAGTTCTTTCGGAAAAGTCAAATCTAGAGTCGATAGACTATATAGGATTGCAAAGAAAATTAATGACAAAACTTAATAGCTTTAACCTACTCGGTGACTATAATACTTCTGCTATCTTCTATGTTGTCAACCTTTCATTGTAATACGAGCATCTAGATTTCTCTAGTGAAGAAGGCTACACCCCTCTTCTCATACTTAAGAAGGTGCATGCATCCACACCAGGCTAGACGAGAGTTGGAGCTCCCATAATCAGGAGAACCGATCCAATTGGACGATTCATTTAGGCATTTTCCAATACCCTTGGGCAGACTAGCTCCTTTGGGTCTCTATTTACCATATTGGGATTATTATTATATATTTGCTTTTTTGTGGACTGGTTTAGGGAATTTTTTGTTTGGATTTATGCTAGCCTTAGATTTCTTCTCAGATTTTTCTCTTCTGGGTTGTCGTAAACTTGCTCTTACAGATGGTGTATTTGTATCTCATTAGAATGTAAGTGGTGGACCCATACAACATTTGCAACACTCTATTTTTTCCCTCTAACAAACACGGATTCCTTGTCCTTCAAGCAAGACAGCAGTTGATGCCTATTTTTCCTTCTAAATCTCTTTGCTCGGTCATATATTCTTCCCTTCATCCTATATCATACACAATAATTATCTTGATCCTTTTACACTCAGAAATTCGAAAACATCGTCACGTTTTTATGAAATGTCAATTTTGTGGGTCACTTAGAAATATCTTTCACCAAACTTCAAATATCAAAAAAGTTTCTTAATATCTTAGGTTTTTTAGCACACTAACATAAATCAAAACAGGATTAATTTTGTGGGTCACTTATTAATAATGTTCAGATTAACACTATTAATAATATTCAGATTTGTTAAAAGATAGTTTTATTTTTTACATGTCAATCATATGAAAATGACATTCCCAAGTAACTGATTTTCGTTGGTAAAAGCATCCCAAAAAGTTATAAGGACATGAATATAATGTGTAATATGATTTATTGTACTTGTTTTAAGATGCTTTTTTGCATCCTTAATGGCATTATTATTGTACTGGCATTGCTGAACCCCTTGGCCAAGTCCTTGCTAGAGCAGTACATGCTAGTCTTCTTTTTTTTTTTGGGCCAGGATCCACCACACAGATATGCTATCTAAACACCTCAAGCATTCCAAAGATCAAGGTTAGATTACTAAATCTTTGTATTAGAACACTCAATAAATAATTGATTACAGAAAGCTGGGGCTTAAGGTCTTTTCACAACAATTCCATCACAGACATGGAAATTTTGAATGGGTATTTCCATTCAAACCAAAACCATCCAACTCCACTAAAATTTAATATTTAAATCTCCACCAAATCTATTGCAATTTTACCTGGAATTCCTCACCATTACACCAAACAAACACAGTATATATGCTCCCTGAAATTAATATATAATATAAAAATTAATATATAATATAAATATTAAGTAAAATAGCTGGAACATCACAACTTTTTCTATACTTGCTCATTCTTTAGAAATGATTGCTAAAAGGTAATTTATCCTCACCCATAGTAACAACAACTGATTCCCTGCAAAATATGATAACACCCACAAAACCGTTCAATCATTTTTATATCGTCACTAGGATAAACATACAGTAAAAAAGGTTACAACTATAAATTTATGCACCTTCACCAAGAGCAGTCAAAAGCACAATGTGCAAGGAGAAGCCACACCAAACATCCATTTCATATATGGAGTGGTTTCCTGCCATTCCAACTGTGGACAATCTAAAAATATGGCTTCCTGCATGGCATAAGGCTGAGGATGCCCTACGTAGACTGACTTCATGTGAATGTTTAACAAAATCATCAAATCAATATACCATTTAAAGAAGAAAACCAAAATAGCATAAACAACTATAATATCTAAACATAAAACATCACTCTATAATTGGATCTGACAATAGCACAGCAATGCATCCGAAAATGTTTACTTATCTTTGGGTAAATGATTTTGCATAAAATTGGATAATTTTCACAATCAGAATCATAAAACCAACAACCATGCTAACCTGCATGAAATTATATCGCTCTCTTCCAATTGATTCGTTTTCTGCAATGGCAAAGTATGCCAACATGGGGTAATGCCCAACATATGATGCATAACTGTCACGTTGAATGTTGACAGCCCATTCACTGCATTTACATTACGGAAGATATTAAAAAGTAACAAAAACTAAGGCAATAAGCATAGAACATGAAATTTCTACAATTAAACACTCACAATCTATTCATATCAGAATGCCCTGTTCCAACATATTTAGCTTGAAGATGCTCAAGCTGGGAGTTAATGTTAAACCGATCACTGGCCTGAAAAAAAAAAAAAGGCTTATTTAGCTTCACCTGAACTTTGCTCTTATATAATAATAAATAATTCTATAGTTTGAGCTGCACTCCAAATGCTATTAAATAAGACATTCAAGCCTCAGCCCAAAGTTTAAGAGACTTAATATTAGAAACTAGAATTTATCGATCACTACAAAAAAAAAGGAAATTTCAAATTAAAGTTAATTGAAATTAGGGTGGAATGTTCAAGGGCCAAATGAAGCTCAACACAAAGATGATGGACACACATCAACCCAAAAGGTAAAACCAATAACTATCAGTTAGTAATAATAAATTAGAAAGTTAAAAGTTTGTTTCATTTACGATGTCACTACTCACTTTCATTTGAATCAAAAGAATGCCCCCCTCACACTAGAGACTACTCACTTTCATTTGAATCAAAAGAATGCCCCCTCACACTAGAGTTCTCTACCTCATCCATTACTCCCACTCAAATGGAAGCTATTTAGCACCATCAAATGATATACAACAGAAGTCCATTCATCCACACGGATATAAGGTAATAATCACCAACTTGTAAACTTAAAATGAAACAAACAGCCAAAAATACATGAGAATCACAAGAAGCATGGAACACTCAATCCCAACCCAGCACTTGGCTCTAATACCAATTTTGAGAAGGGTGAACCACTAAAAGCCCAAACAAAGCTCAATATACCAGTAGATGAAGACCTACCAACCAAAATCTTATGTCAATGGGTAAAAATTAGCACTAGTACATTAGGAATGCCATTGTATTTTACATGCAGTGTGGAAAATTCTCCTCTCATGCGCATGTAAACAATTCCTTATATCAAATCGTAATCCTCCATTTGTCCATTACCACCCATCAAACAGATGCTTTTCAACACCATCACGTAATATGCACCATAACAATCCACACACCAAAATTCCACACATTCAAGTGAAGCAAATATTGTAAGAATAACTTGTGTGTTCAACTTTGTTTAAATTATCATTGAATCTTGTACAAGAATATTGACTACTACGTAAATGAGAATAAAATATTTATTATTAAAAAAATAATATTTTATAGTATGTTTGTATGTGCTTACTTGATTATGATGGAATCGCCCATTTATCATATTAGCAGGAAACGCTAAAGTATCCGTGCAAACAAATGAAAAATGATATTAATATTGAAGTATCTTAACCGGTACAATTTTTGGAAGGTGCTCATATGACGGTTTTACAGATATGTTATTAATATAGTAAAATTAATTGAAAACATCAAATATTTATATTGATTTATTAAAAGCTTAACTAGCATGCATATTATTTTTTTTTCTTATATTATTGTATCTTAGAAGTATGAACATTCATTAACTTTGATTAGCTTATTGTTGTTTTAGATTAACATTTTAGATTTAATTAAGTAATTAAAAGATGAATGATAGAAAAGAAAATATTTATAGAAGATGCATACAATTAGTAAATAGGTAGATTCAAATATATTGTTTTAGTTTAATTTGATTAGTGGCTATTTCCTTTGTCAATAGTTAATTATGGAAAATAAATATGAAAAAATTTAATTCTCTTCATCCGACCGTCTGTTCCCACCTTGATTAATTCAAGATCTCGGGTCGAGTAGTGACAAAAGTGATATCAAGCAAAGGTTAGAATTAATTAATGTAATATGAATGAAAGAGCCAATAGGGCAATTATAAGAAAATTTTAATAATAAAAAAAATTAAAATTTAATCTAACTCGAATTAATAATTATATTCATTCAAACATAGTGATGCACCCAAAATTATATAAGGGTGTCCGATAGAAAATTATGAATAACTAATGTTGACCTGCTTATATGACTTAAGGTCTGTTTATAAATTTCGAGAACGAAATTTTTATAAGTAGGGAAGATTGTAACGTCTTGTTTTTATTAACCGGGTGAGAGGAAACGATGAAATTGAAGAAAAGGAAGTGAAGAGTCGAGCACGTAATGGAGGGAGAGGAATCAGACAGTCAGGAAGCCGAAGAGGGGGAGGTGAAGTGAGGAGTCAAAAAACCCAAGGTTACTCGATACAAAGCCACGTGCTTCAAGGAGGAAGAGGTGAGATCTACTTACTATGGAGTTGAGCAGTGTGCGAAAGAAACTTGGATGACACGGGAGATGAAGGCGGCGTCTGTGTCAAGCAAAGGAGGCGTCAACCAACTCTCCTATCGTGCGAACGTAGAGAAGACGTCGAGACGCTCAAGCGACATCATCGAGTTTCGAGTGGGCTAGGCGAATCGGGGTGCAAAGAAGGAAGACAAAGCGAGCCGCGATGGAAGGAGTTGAAGAGGATGGCATCGCGGCTTTGTGGAAGAGTCCTCGTGCGATTTGAACCAGTGTGTAGAGAGGAAGAATGGAGAAGAGATGCGCTCATGCCTCGTGTGGTAGGGAACTGAAGCCAAAGGAGCTATCGCGTGCAGAGCGAGACCGGAATCGAGTGCAGAGTGCAAGTGAGCTAAGTTTTAATAGAGTTAATTGATTTAATAATAAAATTATTAGTAATATATATATATATACATAATAGAAAATTAATGAAGATTTCATAAAGTAAAATAATGAAAATCTAATACTTGAATAAAAATGAAAAGTTAATCATTTATTTAAAATAATAAATAAATTCAATTTTATATTATGTTTATTTTTAGGTTTCTAATTCTAGGAGAGTGGACGTCAAAACAAATCAAATAACAAATTAATTGACAATGAGATGAGTAATTATAATCTTTTGTTATAATAAAATTTTCTTTTTTCTCGTCCAACTGCATTTATTGTTATTGTTATAATGCCGCATACACATGATTTATGGTTCTGCTGAATTTTATTTATATTGTAAAAATGACATGTGTGCTCAACCTTATTTAAATTATCATTGAATTTTGTACAAACATATTGATTGCTATCAAAATGAAAATAAAATATTCATTATTAAAAAAATAATATTTTTATAGTATGTTTGTATGTGCATGTTTGGCTATGATGGAGTCATCTCTTTATGGTACTAATAGGGAAAGCTAAGGTACTCGTATACATATAAGAAAAATGATATTGATATTAAAGTACCTTAACTGATATAATTTTTAGGTGTATTTGTAACGGTTGTACATATATATAATAATATATGTATGTTATTGATATAATAAAATTCATTAAATCATATCAAATATTTATATTAATTCACTGAAAGCTTAATTGGTTACTGATTACTTTTTTTTGTAATTAGCCTTGTTTAGCTAACTATTTTTTTAAATTAAACTTTCATATTTAATTAAGTGATTAAAAGATGAACGATAGAAGAGAAAATATTTATAGAACCAGTAATGAGGTAAATTTAAATATAATTTTTTAATTTAATTTGATTAGTGCATCTTTCATTTGCTAATATTTAGTTATAGAAAATAAATATGAAAAAATTTAATCCCCACCGCCCGAGTGTCTGTTCCTGTTTTGGTTAATTCTAACACTCGGGTCAGATTGTGACAAGAATGATGTTTTCTTTCTTTTAGATAGAAATAAATTATAAAAAAAGGTTTCTTGATGCTTAGAATTTTCACTAACCTAGGGTTATGGTTTTTTCACCTATTCTAATTTCCTAAGCAAACTAGTGCACTCAATGAATCGTTTGATATGTTCATATAACTCATTTGCATTCAATTTTTAAAAAATGGGCAAGTTTGAAACGTTTGACATATAAATGAAGAAACATGAACAATGACCACTAGGTCATTTAAATTCATGAACATGAGCCTTTAGTATTTAACAAATAACTTGCAAGAGCTCAGAAAGAAATGCTCATTTAGTATTAACATAATAATTTCTGATAATATGTTCTATAGTTTTAGCTCAATCAAAGCTAGATTGCTGCTTCAACTCAATCAAAAAACTAATGAATTAGTTAGAACAAAATTTCAAATTTTAGATCATGTTCAAATTTACCTCAAACTTGATAAGAAAATAAATGAAAAAGACATCATTCAAACTTGGTTGTAAATAAACTGGTGCACTTTATGAATAGCTCAACGCATGCACATATAAGACATATTTGCAATAGCTTATTAAAATAATTGAACAATATTTTAAAAGCTTAACATATAAATAAATAAGTATAAACATTAGTTTGCCGTTCAGTTAAGTTTATGAATATTCCCCTCTATTGCTTAACAAATAAAACAATAAGAGCTGATAAAAAACCTTCTTTATTAATGGCTTAATAGCTTATGATGGGGCTATTTATATGTTAACGGCTCAAAAAAAGCAAATATTCTGCTTAAACAAAAATTTAAATTTAGGATCATATTCAAATTTGTCTTGAAATCGATAAAAACAGACGAGTGAGCATGTCGGCTAAACATGGTTCATGGATAGGCCTAGTTTACATAATCGGAACGCACCTGCATGTTTCCTTGACAAATAAGCTGCGGGAGAAAAAAAACTTCCAGAAACCTGTATAGGTGAAAGGTTTTCAATACATAGCAGGCAGACGAAAAAAAAGTTCTCTAAGAAAATTATCCAAAGAAACCCTAGTGTTCACTATCAGAGATAATAGGTAAGAAAATAAAACCTTACACTTCTATTAAACAGAATCAAATGGAGTAATAAATCGGATATTAGCTTATTAAGCCCTACACCCACCGATTGAGGCCTAAAGCAAAAAATTCCAAAACGTCAAAAAGTTCCCAAGAGTCTAAGATGACGAACTGAAAACAATCCGGAAAAATAGAAAAATTAAAAGAAAGCACCATTAGAGTTAACTGAAAGCCAAACGATAGACAACGCAAACTTAAATCCGGCATAATTCCCAATCCAGTTTCTTCCCCATTTTACCTTAAAAAAGGGATTCGAAAGATTTAACTTAAATCACGCGACTCACAAACTCCTCCGCAGGTCCCGTTCGAATGCTTCTCCGGCGAGCTCCAGTCGCGGTTCCCGAAATTTGGGCTAGGGTTCGGGAGGCGTGCTGTGATTAGTTTTAGCAGATTTGATGAAGTAATACATGCCACTCAATTATTTTACATTTACACATCCAATACTCACATTTAACTTTAAAGGTTTACAAACGATGATATTTTTTATGTGATTTAAAAATTTAAATCAATATAAACTTAAATAATTAAAATTTAGGTATTAATGGTCTCTTTGGAGTGACTGCAATTTATTGAATATTAAAAAAAATATGTTAATAAGCTAGGTGTAGTGATTATTACAAACTTTTATTTTTTTGGAAAAGTTTGCCCAGAAACACATAAGTTGTCAAAATGCAGTTTACCCAAACAGTCAAGGTTCGTTTTCAAAACGTCAACGCACTAAATAAGTTGACCCAAATGGACCCTAATGATATAATTATATAATAAATGGGTGGTCCTTGTGTAAATGTATTAATAAATTTTAAAAAAATTACATTAGTAGCACACAATTCTTATATATATTTACAGATTTGACATGAAAATTTTCATATTAACATGCATATTATTTTAGTGTTGTAGATTTTGATGCAATTTTTTTAATAATTCTCATCACAATATTACTAATTTTAATCTTTTAGAGTATAAAATATCTTCTGAAATTTATGTTTTAATATAAAGAAGATATTAAAATATCACAAAAATGAATATTGAATTCTGTGTGTTAGACATACAGATACTGGGGATGATGTGGCATGCATGTACACCACTCTAAAATTAATTAAAATTACGAAAAAAAAATTGATTTAATGACTCCCAATAGTCCTAATTATATAATTATTTTGTTTTTTTTTTATTTGGAGAAATGTGCCCTAAAGTTTTTTTTGGTGACATAAAGGATAAAATTTTAAAAGGGGCTTAAGGGCATATAATATTAGTATTTGGAGGAGGTTAGAGGGGATTAAAGAGAATGAGCAAAATCTCATGGGACATTTGTGTTTAATGTTAAACTCAAACATTAATTATGTTTAACATTTGGTTTGCATTCATTTTAAATGCAATTAATGTTTGCATTTCACCCTTCAAAGCAAACATTGTTTGTGTTTCACCCTCACACCTCGCGGCTAGGAAATGTTCCCTCCTACTCTCTCTCTCTCCACGCTCTCCCTACTCTCTTCTCATATTCTCCCTCTCTCTCTACAAAAAGTCAAAGTAGCAAGTTCTATTTTCAGAAAAATCATTTTTCCTCTGGATATTTGAATTTTTTGGGGTATTTTTTTGAAAATTTTATGGAGCTAATATTATTGTTTAAGTGATTTTTTTTTTCATCTTATTAGTCCTAAAGAATAATAAACAATTTATTCTTTAAAATTTGATTTTGTAATATGTTTGTGAAACTTAAGGACTTACTTGAAAGTTATGATTGATTAGAACTTTGTTATAATATGCGAAGTGTGAACTGCAGGATTTGTATATGAGAATCGGAAACAAATATATGTGAGACTTGAAAATAATTGTATACGAAAATCGGAAACACTATGGATTTTTATTTCAAGACACAAAATATTATTATTATTGCTATTATTATGTCATCTAAAGTAATAACTATTTTTTTTTTTCCAACAAACTCAATAGTGAGGCTCTATTTATGAATTTCTATGTGTAATTAATGCAGGAATATGAACTATTTTGATCAGACGGTTCGGAGAGATTTCTTTGATCATATGATGTTTGATTGATATTTGAGTGTCTTAATGATGTCAGAATTGAGCAGTTTTGAGCTCGTTGGACTTTTCTCGCCTCGACGCTTGATTTTGACTATAAACTCTCTGGATTTGGCATTCACTTGACCTTTAAATGTGTCCAGAAAATTTTCAAACATGGTTTTAATGACTTGATCAAGGCTCTATTTGGTTCGAAATTTTTATTTCAAGACACAAAATATTATTATTATTGTTATTATTATGTAATCTAAAGTGATAACTATTTTTATTTCAGATCAATTGGTATCATTGGATCTATCTCATAGAGTCAATCAATTTAACAATAAGTTTCTTGAAATCAAAGCTTTGGATGACTTTTTATCAAGGTTACGTCAAGACACATATTTTATCTCGAGATTTGGAAATCAAAGCTTTGGATGACTTTTTATCAAGGTTATTTATGTCAGATGATGGAAATTTATTGAAGGTGTATCACTATTTATTCACATAAGAATAATTGGACTTATTCGACTACATTTTATCAAACTTATATGAATAAGGTTTAATTCATGTTGAAATATAATTCACTTATGTTTAAAATGTTATTTGAATAAGGTTCAAAGATGGCTCAAATAGAATTTGAACCACTTTCGAACAATGTTCAAAGTTTATTTGAGTCACATGGTGTCATAGCCGTGCTTATATTCAAGTAATTTCTTAAAGGTGAATTAAGTATCAATATTATTATGTTATACGGAGGAGAATGGAAAAAAGATAAAAAAAAGTTAATTAGATGTTTTTTGGGAAATGAAAAAGAAGATTTACATTTCAAAGAAATATTTCTAATAAGATCTTATACATAAATCTACGAGGAGGACTAATAAGCATGAAGTGATGTACTATTTTAGTGGAGAAAACTCCATAATATCAATTCCTTCCACATAGAATATGATCTTATTTTCTTATTAAATGTAATATTCATATCTCTTCAAGCTTTTTCTTCCATTAAAATATTTATTGCCCCTAAAAAATGTCAAAAATGGATCAAGATGTCTTTTATTTTAATTGTATTTAGAATATAAAAGTGATGTTATAAATATCTATGATGTGGATGAAGCTAATGCTAGAGACATACATGATGCAGATAAAGATAATATTATAAACTCATAAGATGTAGATGATGTTAGCTCTATAGATAGATGCCTGAATACTAAATAATCTATTAAAAAATGTAACCCCACTCTGTGAGGCCTCTAAAATTAGTAAGCAAGTGAGGTCTTTTGATTATTTATGTACCTTAAGGCCAACTAACAATTCATGTCTTATAAAAGTTAGTGCATTGGAAAGTTTTAATTTAATGTCCATTGATGTATGGCCTCTAGCTCAGATATATCCTATGTGTATTTAAATGTTATGAAATTTTTTTGACAGTATAGTTGAGTGAAATAGAAAGTTACAACTATATGAAATAGATAAAAAGTAACAATTTGAGATGAAAAAAAAATTATAAAAAAATATTTTGAATAGTCGTTGTGCTTTGAAATTTGTTTTGTAAACGATGAAGTTCGCAAAATTAGTTTTTTTATTAGAATCCATGAATCAAAATGCACTTGCACTTTAAGCAATAATTTATGATTTGAAGAAAACATGAATAACTTATACTATGAGAGTGTTTGAAAATTTTCTTGGATGTAGAGCATCATGATGGACCAAAGGTGGGACCTACGTGCAACAATTAGGAAACTACTACTAGAGCACAACTCAAGAGAACTTATTTACATTCAAGAGGTTTAGTTATTAGAACCCAATCCAAATGGAAAGCATAAAGATTTACTTGAATAAAATTTTATATTATCGTTGGTAATTATATTTATTCTATGTTACAATATATGTTTAAGTGTTTGTTTGTCACTTTGTGGCTTTATTTAAAATAAATTTTGAACTTAAGTCAACATTCTTGCTTTGTTTTTAGCTTCAATACATAGGTACCAAGAAAGAAAGTGAGAGTGACATTTTGTTGACCAAGTTAAAGAGCCCGTCTAAACTAATTTTTTAAGTCAAGAGATGTGCTTTTTTTTTTAAGAAGAAATATTTTTGTATATTATTTATGTTTTTTGAAGTAAAAGGGATAAGGTATTTTGTGCAAAATTGGATTTATTTCAAGGTAATTAAAAGAGGCATGGTGACCAACCTTAATAAGGGTTTATGAACTATTGTAATCCTTTTTTGGTGAGTAAGGATTGATGCGGCTTTAACTTAAGTCCATGCACACTTGTACTCTGGGGCCTTACACAAGTGTACGTATTACTTTTGCAATATAAGATTTTTTAGTCTAGGTTATCAAACCCACAGGGAGCGAGGTGTTTAAGTTTAGGAAAAGTTCTAGCCTACTAAATTTGTTCTTAACTTTGAAGTTAAATTGGTTTAAAGTTGTGCTAACTAGTCCTACTGAATTACAAACTACTCATAAAGGTTTACTCTTACTGAAATTCTACTTAATAAATTTGGATTAGTGATAATCAAATTATAAAGCTACCTTCCCTTGCAATGATCTAGGTGGTGTGCAAGAAATGAAAAATGCAAATTGTAAATGAAGCTAGTGACAAATAGGAGCAACTCTCTTCTTTATCCTCTCTAGAGTGCATAAAGAAGTTTGATTAAATTGGTTTTTATTCCTTAAACTCCAATTTGAACCCATCGAATATTATTTCCCTAATATTTGCATCTCCCTATAATGTACTTGGTTCATACCCTATAGTTCAATGTGAATAACCTAGTTGTTTTTCCATAGCTTTCCCGAGTCACTATGGTTCACAACACATTTTAACTATTCACTTAGCCAAAATGAAAAGTAAATGAAATTGAAGGTTAATCATCACATTAAAGATATAAAATCAATTTTAAAAAAAATTATTTCAATTCTACACTTCCTATTTTAAGCATCACATGGGAAAAAGGTAGAAGGACTACTCATAAAGCATTGAAAAAAAAAATACTAAGCATCTTCAAAAATAAAAAAATCCACTATACAATTGTGATTACAGAAATAAAATAACAAGAGTACACAATACTTAGCTTTCTCTCTTTACAAAGTGTTGAAGATACCTCCCCCAAGGATCTCCAAGTCCCTTACTATTATTCTGAACACTCTCCTTACAATTCAACTCAAGTTCCTCACCAAACAGTCAAAGAAACATATCATATTCCTTCCTACAGCAAAACCTAACTTTTTCTCCACCAAAAAGCTCCTTCTTCTCCCACAAATAACACCTTTATTGGGTTGAATAACCACCAACATCATGTGGAAAAACTACTGAAAACTGCTCAGGCAGTTTCTATTGCTTAAGCGCCACAGGGCTGGTGCTTAGGCGCTAGGCTCTTTGTTTGCATGTTTTC